ATCCTCATACCCCGTCCGGTATGAGTGCTAAAAATATTATCCCTCATTACTCCGTCCAGTATGAGGATGAAACTGGCTATCCTCATACCTCATTCGGTATGAGTGCCAAAATACCAATCCTTGATACCCCGTTCGGTATGAGGCAATGTTCACGGTAGGGTTCCATATGCACCCAGTCCGTCCACCATCTCTCAGGATATCCAGTAAGACTATCATTCATTCATTCACTTAATCAAATAATTTTTCGTTTACATTTAATTTTCAGTTTCACAATTTAACTGTAAATTACGCAAAACGAGCAATACATGCATCAAGAAAACACAATTGAATCATATTACCAACTCCAGCGTATTATTATGCATTTAAAACTGTAAAATCAATCAATCAGTTAAAACATGATAAATAGTGATAAATAACCAGTTCCGACTCCATTAGTAACATGTGATTAATTATCAAATTTTTCTAAATTGTACAAAATACTACATTATTTATAATTGAACTTCAATTCAATAAAAAAGAATAGAGTGAGGGATTCTTATGCGAATCATTGTTCGAACACTAAACTTTCAGCTGCGCCTACTGGTGGTTCCTGAATTCCCTAAATTTTTCTTCAGAGATTAAAACACGCTTCAAATACCTAGAAATACCCAAAAAAATCTAAAATCAATGTTAAATTTCTGGCTAATTTCAGAATTCCAGCACGACGACACCGTTGCTCGTGACAGCGGTTTGCCTCGAATTGGCAGGTTTCAGCCAGTTTCGGCTGGTTTTGTATTAATCCCTGTGAGAAAATACGTTAAGGGGATTCGGTTGGTCGAAAAAAATTGAAAAACATAAACTTACCGGTGGCAGAGTTTTTCGATGTGGCAGCTCCGTCGGCTTACCTTCGTGGTTAGGCATTTTTCTTCGGTCAACCTGTGAAAAATAGAATGGTAAATACAAATGTGAAAAAATCGCACGAAACGGGAATCGGGAAGGGTCTCATCATATGCGATTTTTTATTTTTTCCGTGGCGGCACCGCCAAACTTTACTCGCGTTTGTCGGCTCATCCGCCGATCCTTTTGCTTCGATTTAATCATAGGGGTGTTCAAAATCAAATTTCGAGCAAATTGCGAAACTTTTTACCTTTTTTGGCGGTCGGAGGTGACTCCGTCGCAGCGGTGGGCGGCGATCAGCTCCCTTCTCCGGCGACTAATTCTTCTTCTCCGGCAGGGGTTGTCGGCTAGGGTTAGGGTTCAGTATGAAATGAGGTATTTATATCCGTCTCCTTTTAATCTGGGTTGTCCATCGCGTTTGATTTCGACCGTCCGATCGCATTTAAATAGAAAATAAATCTGTACCATTCATCGCAATTTGATCTGGATCGTATAGTCACGCTTGATGAGAGAACAAATCCAAATCG